TGGATGCAATTATTGCGGTGGACGGAAGCCAGTGCCGCCAGGAGCAGCTAACTGTGGATGCACTTATTGAGGTGGTCGGCAGCTCGTGTCTCCAGGAGCAGCACTTATTGCGGTGGACGGCAGCCAGTGCCCCCAAGAGACATGATAGCAGTTTCGAACGCAACATCTCAAGAGAGTATCAGTTCGTCTTTTGTACCGCTTTGTATATGACCCCATTTTCCGCCTTGTGTGGACATATGTTGTACATGACCCCATTATTCGGCCTGGCGTGGACATATGTCGTACATGACCCTCCCCCTCACCTTTCCAATAGATCGGCCTTGTGAGGACCGGAAGTGTACATGACCCACCTTAAGACAGCTTTGTGTCGCCGCCTTATGAAACTATACCCAAAGCCTTATGAAACTATACCCACAGCCTTATGAAACTATACCCAAAGCCTTATGAAACTATACCCAAAGCCTTATGAAACTATACCCAAAGCCTTATGAAACTATACCCAAAGCCTTATGAAACTATACCCAAAGCCTTATGAAACTATACCCAAAGCCTTATGAAACTATACCCAAAGCCTTATGAAACTATACCCAAAGCCTTATGAAACTATACCCACAGCCTTATGAAACTATACCCACAGCCTTATGAAACTATACCCACAGCCTTATGAAACTATACCCAAAGCCTTATGAAACTATACCCACAGCCTTATTAAACTATACCCAAAGCCTTATGAAACTATACCCACAGCCTTATGAAACTATACCCACAGCCTTATGAAACTATACCCAAAGCCTTATGAAACTATACCCAAAGCCTCATGAAACTATACCCAAAGCCTTAAGAAACTATACCCACAGCCTTATGAAACTATACCCAAAGCCTTAAGAAACTAAACCCAAAGCCCTAATCTCCGAAATAATTAAAACTCGCGTTGTTTCGTTTTTATTCCTCTATGGATCACGCTACCAATGTCACCTATTAATAACAGATCCGGGTATTTAAAATATGTATTCATAAGCAATATTGTTTCCCAATCAGGGGCGTAGGATGGGGGTGCTGAGGGTGCGGTCCACCCCTAACGGTATTTTTTTCTTTGTATGAAGGGTCGGAATTTTCGGCCGACTGCAGTATGTTATTGTTTTTATTTTTTTGTTTTTTTGTGGAGTGGGGTTGAGACCGACCGAAAGTGATTTTCTGATTTCGGCCGAAGCCGAAAATAGGTCAAAAGTTTAAAATGACTTTCGGCCAAAACCGAAAATAAGCAGAAAGTTTAAAAATGAGTTTCGGCCGAAACCGAAAAAAGGCCGAAAGTGAAAAATGACTTTCGGACGAAGGCGAAAACGAAAATGAAATATTTAGATATTTTGAACTTCGTTCCCGCATGCATTCTTCAAACATCGATAATGATGGGAAGAAGTATAAATCTGTACATTCTTTTTATAAAAAATGAGAGAATATTAATAAATAAACATCTAATATAAAATCTTATTGTTAAAGATCGTTTAGTTTGTTCTTAAAGATTGCTTAGTTTGTAGTTATAAAGATCGTTCAGTTTTTTATTAAAGATCGCTTTATTTGTTCTTAAAGATCGTTTAGTTTGTTCATAAAGATCGCTTAGTTTGTTGTTAAAAATCGTTTATTTGGTTTTTAAGATCGCTTAGTTTGTTCTTAAAGATCGCTTAGTTTTTGTTTAAAGATCTTTTAGTTTGTTATTAAAGATCATTTAGTTTGTTCAAAAAAGATAGCTAAGTTTTTTCTTAAAGATTGCTAAGTTTGTGTTTTAAAAGATCATTTAGTTTGTTTATTAAGATCGCTTAGTTTTTTCTGAAAGATCTTTGATTTTCTTCTTAAATATCGCTTAGTTGTTCTTAAAGATCATTCAGTTTGTTCTTAAAGATCATTTAGTTTGTTTTATAGATCTTTTATTTTGTTATTAAAAATCGTTTAGTTTGTTCTTAAAGATCGCTAATTTTGTTGTTGAAGATCGCTTAGTTTTTTTCATAAAGATCGGATCGCTTAGTTTGTTCTTATAAATAATTGATTTTGTTCCTTAAGATCGATTAGTTTGTTCTTAAAGATCGATTAGTTTGTTCTTAAAGATCTTTTAGTTTGTTCCTAAAGAACATTTAGTTTCTTTTATAGATAGCTTAGTTTATTCTTATAAATCATTTAGTTTACTTTTAAAGATAATTTGTTTTGTTCTTAAAGATCATTTAGTTTGTTCTTAAAATCGGTTAGTTTGTTCTTTAAGATCATTTATTATTTTTATTAAAGATCACTTAGATTGTTCTTAAAGATCGCTTAGTTTGTTTTAAAGATCGTTTAGTTTGTTTTAAAGATCGTTTAGTTTGTTCTTAAATGTCACTTAGTTTGTTGTTAAATATCGTTTGGTTTGTTCTCAAAGATCACTTTATTTGCTTTTAACGATCGTTTAGTTTGTTCTTAAATGTCGCTTAGTTTGTTGTTAAATATCGCTTTCGCTGAGTATTAGATGACCGAAAACCTCAGTCACTTTCGGCCGGTTGGCCGAAAGTCAAAGTCAATTTCGGCCGAAACCGAAAAAAAACGAAAGTTAACTTTTCTCTTTCGGCCGAAACCGAAATTAAGCCGAACGTTAACTTCTTCTTCTTCTATATCTTAAGGGCCCACGATGAATTGATTGGTCATTTTGGCTCCTATGCATGCAGATGGGATTTGCAATGTTTCTGTTCCTGGTTTTGAAAGGAAATTTCACTGATTTTCGGCCGAAACCGAAACTTGGCCGAAATTCGGTCGGTCTCTAGAGTGGGGAATGGTGGAAAAATTCTAGGCCCACCACTGGTGGCAAAATCGCCACTGCACCCAGTGCCTAAAGTTGGATTGACGACTACTGACAGAGAAATCGAAACAGATCGAAACGTTTGGTTTCATGTCGTCGACCTCGCGTCTAATTATATCATCAAACCATGGTTGACAGCGATGACATCAAGACCAGGTCGTCAATCACCGGACACACACCTCACTCTCCCAGGTGTAGGTTTCAACAGGTTGAGGGGATTTGCACTTACTGACTTTGACATGTATGACGTCCAAGTGGTTAGGGGAGTGGGGATGGCTTGGCGTGAAGGAGGAAGGTTGAGGGGGGGTGGGGAGGGGTCTCTGACATTCTATTGGCGAATAAAACAACTTAAAGTAAGCTGACTGGATTAAAAGGTGCATGACCGACGTGAATATTAATTAGATCCTTCCTTGATATGTTGGTGGATTTTTTTTGTCATATATATATTTATTTATTTTTTGGTGCGGTGGTTGGGGTTTACATCTAAAAGTGGGATTATACCGGGTGTTAAAGTTTCGATTTTCCGCTTAAACGCTTTATTTAAAAATAACACTTTGCTTCATTTTGTCAGGATGTAATTTTTTTAATGTCCTTTTTTTGTTTTCTCTTTAAGAGATCAGCTACGGGTTCTTTCGTAAGAAGATGGATTGTGGTTGGTTTTCTGCAAACACATCTCAGATGTTGTGGTGTTAATGTGATATGATATTTAAATAGTGTACGGCATTTGATGATACGTTGAAATGACAGATTAATTAAAAGATTTATTCTTGACATATATGTATGTTGCACCGTTAGGTCCTTGTTTTTTTAATCACTGACTAAAATAATAATTAAATAAAATGTATTTTTAAGTTGACAGCTAAAACTGTTATAGATTTCTGAAAGTCAGTATTTATTTCTGTTGTGGTTTATGGTGGTCTATGGTGGTTTATAGTGATCTTTGGTGGTCTATGATAGACTTTAAAGTTAAATGAAAGTATATGATGGTCTATGATGGTCTCTGATGGTCTATATTGGTCCTGATGGTCTACGATGGACTTTAAAGTTAAATGAAAGTATATGATGGTCTATGATGGTCTCTGATGGTCTATATTGGTCCTGATGGTCTACGATGGACTTTAAAGTTAAATGAAAGTATATGATGGTCTATGATGGTCTCTGATGGTCTATATTGGTCCTGATGGTCTACGATGGACTTTAAAGTTAAATGAAAGTATATGATGGTCTATGATGGTCTCTGATGGTCTATATTGGTCCTGATGGTCTACGATGGACTTTAAAGTTAAATGAAAGTATATGATGGTCTATGATGGTCTCTGATGGTCTATATTGGTCCTGATGGTCTACGATGGACTTTAAAGTTAAATGAAAGACTGTGATGGTCTATGATGTTCCATGGTGGTCTTCTAACAGTATTGTAACCCTAATGAAAGTCATTCAAAATATATATGTTCGTCCGTCGCATGCGAAGATGACCAAATCTTCGACTTGAGTAGTAGATTTGATTTGAGCTGTATTTTGTTTAAAGCGAGGGACAGTTGCTCGTTTCGTCGGCCTCACTCTCTCGCCTTTGCCTATTTGATCCCATGCACGACTTAGTCAAGACTGGAAATAGACCAACATGCTGCTGTAGATGACCAGCAGTGCTTCTGGAGATGACCAGCAGTGCTTCTTGTGTCTCACTGTGCTCTTAATGCGTTCCACGTCGCAGGAGTTGTCGGAAATGTGTATGATGTCGATGTCATAGTGCTGACGGGACTCTCTCTCTCCGGTTTTGATTTCCGAGTTTGTCTTCTCTTAGAAAAGTTGTCATCCAAGGTTAACGAGTCCCAGGTGTGCTGGTGCTGTTTTTTTGCTTGTCTAGGCTGGGGGGCTGCACTCTAGTTCACAAGCTTGGGATGGACTCATTTTAAACCACTCGACCACCCAGCACCCCACCATATTCCAAATATAGAAACATTACTTCAAAATTTAATTGAACACGTTAAATAGTTCTAATTTTTCTTGCAATTTAGAAACTAAATCTACAAGGTTAAGACCATTGATGAAACGCTTGATTTAGCCAGCATGAACAGACACTGTAGCTAGACCCATTTTGTTTTGATAGCATCATCTCCAGAACAAGAGACACAGGCAAGCTAATTAACTTTCCTTAAAACCAAATAGCAGAAGTCGTTTCAAGATGGCCGTGGGCTCAAGCGTCACGTTCCAGTGGCAGGATTACCTCGTGTTTAGTGTCATCCTGGCGGTGTCTTCGATCATTGGATTATATTTCGGGATTAAATCGCGGAGGCAGAAGTCGGAGAGCTCCGGAGATATGATTACAGGTTAGTGTACTTGGAGAGCTCCGGGGATATGATAACAGGTTAGTGTACTGGAGAGCTCTTGAGATATGATTACAGGTTAGTGTACTGGAGAGCTCTTGAGATATGATAACAGGTTAGTGTACTTGGAGAGCTCTTGAGATATGATTACAGGTTATTGTACTTGGAGAGCTCCGGGGATATGATAACAGGTTAGTGTACTGGAGAGCTCTTGAGATATGATTACAGGTTAGTGTACTGGAAAGCTCTTGAGAATGGTAACAGGTTAGTGTACTTGGAGAGCTCTTGAGATATGATTACAGGTTAGTGTACTGGAGAGCTCTTGAGATATGATTACAGGTTAGTGTACTGGAGAGCTCTTGAGATATGATAACAGGTTAGTGTACTTGGAGAGCTCCGGAGATATGATAACAGGTTAGTGTACTGGAGAGCTCTTGAGATATGATTACAGGTTAGTGTACTGGAGAGCTCTTGAGATATGGTAACAGGTTAGTGTACTTGGAGAGCTCTTGAGATATGATTACAGGTTAGTGTACTGGAGAGCTCTTGAGATATGATTACAGGTTAGTGTACTGGAGAGCTCCGGAGATATGATAACAGGTTAGTGTACTTGGAGAGCTCCGGAGATATGATAACAGGTTAGTGTACTTGGAGAGCTGCGGATATATGATAATAGGTTAGTGTACTTGGAGAGCTGCGGATATATGATAATAGGTTAGTGTACTTGGAGAGCTCCGGAGATATGATAACAGGTTAGTGTACTTGGAGAGCTCCGGAGATATGATAACAGGTTAGTGTACTTGGAGAGCTCCGGAGATATGATTACAGGTTAGTGTACTTGGAGAGCTCCGGGGATGTGATAACAGGTTGGTCAACTTTTCACATGTAAGTTTTGAGCCTGTCATATGCGCACTAGGCTGACGTACTTTTAAACCAGAAATATAACAACCCTTAAAATACAATGTTTGTTTCGTATAAATCCGTTTTAAAATGTAATATCGAGCAATGAAGGGGGGGGGGGGCTGACATTTGGCTAATCATGCATACAAGTAACGCAATTTATAATTATAATAATCGCCAATAGAAAATGGAAGAGCACTACGTAGGTAGTTCATTTCCAAAATATCAGCAGAGGTCGTTAAAAGGGGGGGGGGGGTATCCAGAGACTTGAAGACAACATACGATTTGTAGATTTTTACCGAGCCTCCGACTCCCCTCCCTCACATTTATTATCATTAGTACGGTACTCGAGAATCTTTGTCCCAAGCGAATGGTGTACACTTGAAAGAACATTCCTTACGTCAGTGCTTCTGTCTTAATACGAAACGTCCTCTCACTCCAGGGGGAGGTAAGTTGCCAGTTCTGCCCGTTGCAATGTCCCTCAGCGCGACCTTCACCAGCGCCACCACCATCTTGGGGATACCCGTGGAGGTGTACTCCAGGGGCGGAGAGCAGTGGATTTGGTGTCTGGGGCTCATCCCTTGCTTCCTGATTGTTGCCTTCTTTATCGTGCCTATCTTCTACAACCTTCATCTGACAAACGCCTATGAGGTGAGTGGTTTTATGAGGTGGACGGTTTTATTAGGTGTTGGTAATATTATTTTATAAGGTAATTAATATGCAAAAGGCTGTCAACTCAAAAATTAAAAAATGTAAAAAAAACGGGGAAAATCTCCTAATTCTCAACAATTTTTTCCTGGAAATATTTTTAAACTTAACTGAGTTAAAGTAATACCGAATGTGCCAACGACTATTTCTTTATAGCTCTATATCAACGGTCCCCAAATGGCGGTCCGTGGACCTTCACCGGTCCGCATGCCGAACGCTGCCGGTCCCCTTAACATAAATATGTATTGTCAAATAGAAATAAAAGTGTAAAAATAAATCATGCACCGGTCCCTGGTAAAATTTCGAAACTTGTTCACCGGTCAGCCAAACTTAAAAGTTTGGGAACCACTGCTCTATATCATACTAGTATATATGACCCAATGTTATCGGGGTAATAATGGGATATAATTGGCGATGATTTCTACCTGCTTTTGCGAAAACTCATCACAATTCATTATTTAAAAAATAAGGAAATAAATGAAACAAAGTATGGGGAAACCTGAACAAAGAGAAAAAACTTAGCTGAAATGTAATATCCGAGAGGGCAGCAAGCAGTATCTGTATAATGATGTTAACGTCTCTAATGTTACTAGAGTTACTGAGCTTAAAAATGCAACGATATTTTACATGTTTTTAGCATACAGTGTGGTGACATTTGTGGTGTGGTGACATTTGTGGTAATAGTGTAGTGACATTTTGTGGTAATAGTGTGTGACATTTTGTGGTAATAGTGTAGTGACATTTGTGGTAATAGTGTAGTGACATTTTGTGGTAATAGTGTAGTGACATTTTGTGGTAATAGTGTAGTGACATTTTGTGGTAATGGTGTAGTGACATTTTGTGGTAATGGTGTAGTGACATTTTGTGGTAATAGTGTAGTGACATTTTGTGGTAATAGTGTAGTGACATTTTGTGGTAATAGTGTAGTGACATTTTGTGGTAATAGTGTAGTGACATTTTGTGGTAATAGTGTAGTGACATTTTGTGGTAATAGTGTTGTGACATTTTGTGGTAATAGTGTAGTGACATTTTGTGGTAATGGTGTAGTGACATTTGTGGTAATAGTGTAGTGACATTTTGTGGTAATAGTGTAGTGACATTTTGTGGTAATAGTGTAGTGACATTTTGTGGTAATAGTGTAGTGACATTTTGTGGTAATAGTGTAGTGACATTTGTGGTAATAGTGTAGTGACAATTGTGGTAATCTGTGCCTTCGTAAGATTTTTTTGTTTATGTATAATAAAATAATAAAAGTTTTCATCATCTGAACGTGAAGGACTTTTAGAAAATTGTTTTATACATTTGTAATGAACCCGCTGCATCACCCAGGTGGTCACACATTCTATCAGATTCTTACGTTTACCCCATTTCGAGACAGGTCGACGACTTGTTATAAAGCTCAGTCGGAACTGGCCGATTCGCGTTGTTTCTAATGTCCATTTGGCATTTTGATTTGTTTTCTTTCATTGTGTTAACACATGACGGTATCGTTGTTGTTTGTATCCCCAGTACCTTGAGCTGAGGTTCAACAACATCATTCGCTACATGGGCTCGTTCCTCTTCTCCATCATCATCGTAAGTTCATCGTCTGCAACCATTTCTGTTTTGTTGTATGTTTGAATTAAGTCTCCATGTTATTGCTTGACACCTGTCTATTTACTTTTGTCCAGATGGAGAGGTCGACTCTATGTGTTTCCTCTTTTCCATGGGGCGACGCAAAACAAGGAGGGGGGGGGGAATGTCCTTGGGCGCCAGACTAGTGGAGGCGCAAAAATGGGNTCAAAATGATTCCTTTCCCCTGGATCTAAAACTTGTGTGACGCCTCTGAGGAGACGTGCGAGGCGGTGGGGCATAATCGGAATCATTTTGTGGTTGTTCTTGCCTTTGCTGTTGTTGTTGTTGTTGCCGTTGTTCTTGCCTTTGCTGTTGTTGTTGTTGTTGCCTTTGTTCTTGTTGTTTTTTTGTTGTTGTTGCTGCTGCTTTTCCGGGGAAAAGAATATGTGTGTATGTGGGTTGGGGGGGGGGGGAATATTCAGCCAAACAAAAAGATTTTTTTTTTTTATCTTCCTCCCACACTAAAGCTAGCTTGATAAAATGTATGTCCTTATCCAAAGTGTCAGAAAAAGAACCATTATAAATTTTCTTGCTTTAGTGTCTGCCACTGATTGATCTATCGATTCTTAAGAACAAACCGATTCTTTTATTTACCCTCCAACAGCTGATCTACATGGCAGCCGTGCTATACGCCCCCGCTGTTGCACTCAGTCAAGGTAAGTGACATCACTGTGACACGTGTGTCAAGGTGATTTACAAAACTATGAAACGTGTGTCAAGGTAAGTTACAACATTATGAAGTGTGTGTCAAGGTAAGTTACAACAATATGACACGTGTGTCAAGGTAAGTTACAACAATATGACACGTGTGTCAAGGTAAGTTACAACAATATGACGCGTGTCTTGAGGTGAGTTACAACAATATGATCCGTGTGTCAAGGTAAGTTACAACAATATGACACGTGTGTCAAGGTAAGTTACAATAACATGACACGTGTTTCAAGGTAAGTTACAAAAATATGACACGTGTGTCAAGGTAAGTTACAACATTATGAAGTGTAAGTCAAGGTAAGTTACAACAATATGACCCGTGTGTCAATGTAAGTTACAACAATATGACACGTGTGTCAAGGTAAGTTACAACAATATGACGCGTGTTTTGAGGTAAGTTACAACAATTTGATCCGTGTGTCAAGGTAAGTTACAACAAAATGACACGTGTGTCAAGGTAAGTTACAACAATATGACGCGTGTTTTGAGGTAAGTAACAACAATATGATCCATGTGTCAAGGTAAGTTACAACAATATGACACGTGTGTCAAGGTAAGTTACAATAACATGACACGTGTTTCACGACATCCAGTCATACCACATAACAACAACACAGGCCACGCAGGTCACAAACTTCACTCACTACTCAAAATAATAATCCTCAGTCATACTAACACACCTTTATTTTTATTTATATTTTCAGTTACAGGTCTTTCGAAGGAGATCTCTATACTAGCCATGGGTCTCTTTTGTACCCTCTACACTTCAATAGTAAGTATTGCAATGTACCCTCTACACTTCAATAGTAAGTATTACATTGTACCCTCTACACTTTAGAACAATACTGATAAAGGGTTGCAACAACATTAATGAAATCCTTCTTCATTTTTTCCCCTCCTCATTTTGAATTTGGTTACAGCCCTTCCAGCAAACAGAAACATAACTGTATCGAAATGTTAAGTGTCGCAAACGACTCACGAGTCAAATTTCTGAAATCTCTCTCAAAAAGAGCGCAATGGAATTAAAAAATGTGTACTGTGATGTGTCGGAGTCCGAGTCCTACACTTTGGCGCAAATTTGGAGTCGTTTTAGTTTCCTACTTTGAGATAGTGATAGTAATCGAATCCTCTTTTACAAGTTCCGGTTCGGTACTGTAACAACTAAGGTTCTGGTTTGGTTCGGCTGCCACTGAAGTTCTTTGGGGGGGGGGGGGGGGGGGGGGGGGGGGGGGCGTCAAAATGATTCCTTTCCCCTGGATCTAAAACTTGTGTGACGCCTCTGAGGAGACGTGCGAGGCGGTGGGGCATAATCGGAATCATTTTGTGGTTGTTCTTGCCTTTGCTGTTGTTGTTGTTGTTGCCGTTGTTCTTGCCTTTGCTGTTGTTGTTGTTGTTGCCTTTGTTCTTGTTGTTTTTTTGTTGTTGTTGCTGCTGCTTTTCCGGGGAAAAGAATATGTGTGTATGTGGGTTGGGGGGGGGGGGAATATTCGGCCAAACAAAAAGATTTTTTTTTTTTTTTTTCCTCCCACACTAAAGCTAGCTTGATAAAATGTATGTCCTTATCCAAAGTGTCAGAAAAAGAACCATTATAAATTTTCTTGCTTTAGTGTCTGCCACTGATTGATCTATCGATTCTTAAGAACAAACCGATTCTTTTATTTACCCTCCAACAGCTGATCTACATGGCAGCCGTGCTATA